AGGAGTGAGTGCCCAGCCTTCCTATCTACTTTAAATCATTTCTAGATTACTTAAAACCCCTAAAAGAATGCCTACACATCACTTCATTTGCACGAGTTCAACGTAGTACTCAGCAAGCGGCAAATTCCATTTGCTTTTTAGAACTCTGTGGAGAATTTTTTTTTTCTCTGAATATTTTTGGTCTGCAGTTAGTTGAACCCATGGATGAAGAAGCCACGGATATGGAGGGCTGACTGTACTCGTTTTTACTATTAACCACCACTGGAAGCTAGAGAGAGAGATTGTTTTTTTGACTGAGGACACGTTGTGGACCCATATATTATGTTCTACAATGAGGCCAAGGTCAGCTAATGCAGACTGTACCCCAAGAAAGGACGGCTGCTCAAGACCCCACAGCCATGTGCCTGCCAATCAAGCCAGCCTGTGAGAGCCAACAGTGCACTGTCACCTCTGTGACTTCTAAGCCCCAGAAGGCAGCCCACTCAGAAAGTGAGGCAATGGTAGCTTAAGAAGGTAGCAGGTTCCTAAAAAGAGCCAGGTTGCCCACTGCAAATGCTTCCATGCCCATTCTGGTGTTGGGATCCATACTATATCAGGGGGAAGAAAGAAACTGTACATATTAGGTTGATCCACAGGAACCTTCTATATATATGGTCAGCTGTTGGAAATTCCATATGGGTAAGCCTATATTAAGCTGGAAAAGAAAAGAAATGTAGTCATCTGGATAAAAATGCTGACCTACTATCCTCACCAGAATGGGTGTTTTTTTTGTTTTAGTTTTTTTTTTTTTGTAAACAAGGTCTCACTATGTTGCCCAGAAAGCAGTGCAGTGGTGTCATCACAGCTCACTGTAACCTTGAACTCCTTGATCCTCCTGCCTCTGCCTCCCAGGTAGCTGGGACAACATACAGGTGTACGCCAGGACGCCCTGCTAATTTTTTAAATCTTTTGTAGAGAGGGGTCGTCTCACTCTTGCTCAGACTGCTCTAGAACTCCTGTCAGCTTATAACTGACAAGCAAAAGCTGAGACAAGGCAGGACAGGGGCTAAGAATTGGCCTGGGGTAAAATCCCACAGGGCCCGTGCCCAGCAGAGTCTACACAGACCCTGCAGCATTCAGGCTGAAGGAGGAAGGGTTCCAGAGAGAGCCCAGTGACACTTATGCAAACAATGACAGTTTAATTATAATTTAAAAGGTAGTTCCTTTTTTTTAATTGAGAACCACAAAGACTGTAAAATTCTCTCAACTTAACTTCCCCCAAAGGCTTATTACTCAAAGATTGCAAAAGAAATATCAGTGTTGGACATCTTTCTTTAATATGGTAAATCTTCCCTTACTTCCTATCCAAGGAAAGGGGTGTGTATAAATGTCAATGATATCTGTAAATGCTACCATTGGCGCTCACTAGGGGTGGTATCTCCTTAGAACACAAGGAAACCAAAGAGAGTTCAGCAGGACACACCTCTGAACTGCTCCGCCAGCAGGTTCATCTAACCTCCAGGATGAAGATGTCAAATTCAGCCCCATGATCCAGGGACCACAGTAAATAAGGATGAACACCTTGGGTCAGTGTATCCAAATGTGTGCAGGCAAAGGAAACAAAACAGTTCAACTGGAAAACCTCAAAACCAGAGGCCGGAAAATGTTTGATGACTTTGTTGTGAGATGGTATCTTTTTTTTTTTTCCTTCCATTTTTAATTTTCTCCCTTCGAATTCAAACTGCAGCCACAGACGCTGACAGCTCTAGCTTCAGACTGGATACAACATGGGAAAATCATTCCAAAAGCTCTTAACTAGGTAACTAATTTAATACACTTTGCTTCAAGGTTTATTTGTTGGCTTGCTTCCCAGATACGAAGCATCTCTGAGCAATTATTATGCAGATGCCACTGAAAGGACTTTAAATGGCTGCTGCTAATTTAACAGGAGCTATGTTGGCATTTACCGGAGATGTGAAAAAGAATGCAAAACGCACTACAAAAACCAAAAGCGTTTGTCTTTAAATATGAAGTATGTGGAATGACTTTTCAATGTTTTCCTTTGGGTTTCAATACAAACTTTGGCTAGGAAGTTGGATAGTTAACCTGCTTCCTCCCCGCATTGTGTGCACTGACGAACATTCCCATAGCAAGCAGTGGGAACAGTGGATGAGTTAAAAGGAAGCCCGTGAGTGATGAGCTCAAAGAGATACCAGATCTACGTGCTGCCCACATGAGACATTTAACAGCTCCCGTGCCGGTGCTCAGAAATGACAGATAAATAGTGATGTTCTTCATTGTGCAATAAACCAGTAACGGAGACCAATCGTTAAAACGTCCCTTATAGAACATCCCAAGGATGAAAAAAATCTCTACGGAAAGAAAACAAACACCTTTTTGCCTGCTGATGAGCTTCTCATAGTAACAGTTAGAGGCTCTATTCCACTGAACATAGATGTGATACTCATGGTTTTCTTCTCAGAACGCACACCAAAATTCTAGAATCTACAAAGCTCAGCTGAAGTCCTACTTCTTGACCGATTCTTCACACCCTGAAGTAGGAGAGAGAGAAAGAGGAAGTCCTCCATCCTTAGATATTCTGAGTCTAAATACAGAGTACAACCAGACCACCGCTGGCCAGATGTGAGACTGGGTTGATTCATATTCACAAGTAGTTAATGGGGACTCTACTTCGGTATCTATCTGTCGGTATGTGGTGACAGGAAGTCACAAAGGTGAGCTCTTCCTGGTTGATGTGATGCCATACCTTCTTTGTCTTTTTAGCTCAAGGAGGAAAAAAAAGCAGTAATGGAACAATCATTAAAAAGTTGTAGGCCGGGTGAGGTGGCTCACGCCTGTAATCCTAGCTCTCTGGGAGGCCCAGGCGGGCAGATTGCTCAAGGTCGGGAGTTCGAAACCAGCCAGAGAGAGACTCCACCTCTACTATAAATAGAAAGAAATTAATTGGCCAACTAATATATATACAAAAAATTAGCCGGGCATGGTGGCGCATGCCTGTAGTCCCAGCTACTCAGGAGGCTGAGGCAGCTGGATTGCTTGAGCCCAGGAGTTTGAGGTTGCTGTGAGCTAGGTTGATGCCACGGCACTCACTCTAGCCTGGGCTACAAAGTGAGACTCTGTCTAAAAAAAAAAAAAAACAACAAAAAAAAACTACATGTAAAAAGGAAATTTTCCAAAAATTCAGTGAACGAGAAAATGTGCAGAATATGATTTATTGTGTATTAACCAAAGAAATTCAGGCTGGGCACAGTGGCTCACACCTGTAATCCCAGCACTTGGGAGGCCAAGGCAGGAATACTGCTTGAGGCCAGCCTGGGCAAGATTGAGATCCAGTCTCAATGAAAAATAAAAAAATTAGTTGGGCATGGCAGCATGTGCCTGTAGTCCCAGTTACTTGGGAGGCTGAGGCAGGAGGATGGCTTGAGCCCAGGAGTTTGAGGCTGCTGTGAGCTAGGCTGACACCACTGCACTCTAGCCTGGGTGAAAGAGTAAGATTCTGTCTCAAAAAAGAAAAAAAAAAAAATAAGGACACCAACCAATGAAATCATAAGAAGAAACTAAGAAATAAGCTTCAAACTGAGGGTAGTGAACACCAGAACTGACCAGAGAGTAGGTTATATGGAGAGAAGGAAGGAAGCAAAGGACTTTGTGAATGACAGATTCTACCATCTTTCATCAGTAGGCCAAGATCTGGACTACAGGTCTCTGAGTGGGATGAATTCTGCTTCTGCAGGCCAAAACCTAAAGATGACACCAGCACAGGGCGGGGGTCACACTTTGTGTGGCTCCTGGACAGGGCCCCTCTGCCTAAGTGCCAAACAGCTCCCATAAATCATCCTCCCCAAGTGCTTCCTTTGTACATTTCCCATGACTTAGTGACTGGCGGAAAGATGGAACACACCCAGCCCTTCGACCTTGGGTCTCAGTCCAGCACACACCTCTTATTTAACACATTAACTGCCGTGTGAGTTGTATTTAACTCACGCTAGTGTTGAGCCCGGGGCCTCATGAAGCATACGTTTACTCACGTGTCTCTTCACCTTGTGAACGGTGAGAACTATTTTTCAAGTTGCATATAACTCATGCACAGAATAAAAAATAATACATTTTTCATTAAATTAGAAAGGATCATTTTGTTTTCAAAGTTTGTATTCTATTTTTATAATAAAACACCGTGGCCCTCAGGAAAAAAAATTTTTTTTCTAGCATGGCAGTCAATGTGTTAAATGAGACCCTATTATCAAGGCCCTGCCAGACTCCTTTCTCTTCCCACTCTGGTCAACTGTCCTGTCTCAATCAGGCAAGAGGCTGAGCTGCACCAATGGACTGGCCCACGCCTTAATGCCACCAGATGTGGGAGAGGGGGGTCTATGGTGCAAATGAAGAGAAGTAGCAAATACCCAGGGGACAGTCCCAGCAAGAATGCACAAGCTCCAGAGGCCAGAGAAAGGAGCGGTCAAGAAACATACAGCACAGAGCTCCTCTTGCAGCCCGAAAGATGGTAATCCTGGCATTGTAAAGGGAACATTTTTTCTTTAGCTGTTGCTGTCTTTAACTCAAGTTTGGGGGGTGAAGTCATGGTGGGGCAGGGGGAGAGGAGGGAAAAGAGGTTACTAAAATGGGGCAGAAAGGAAGAAGACAGGAAACCAGCTGTCCATCAAGCTCATGAGCCCCATATATAAGAGAATAGTGTTTTTTTTTTTCCTTCAGGAAAGAGTCCTGGCCCCTTTTCTTTACATTTCCGGATGCATTCATTTTCTTGCCATCTTTGATTTGGACATCAGCAATGAAGCCGATTAATTTCAGGAGTGGTTACAAATCTGGCTGCAACTTCATTAGAGATGGTTTCCCTTATGCCTCTGTCCCCAAAACGATCCACCACAACCACCGGGCAACCTTCCCTACTGACGAATTACAATGCAGATCAGTCAAAACGTGGTTCAGGTGAGAAAGCACATTAGCGCGAAAACCGCATCAGAATAATTCACAAAAGTTATTCCGAAGGGGGAAAAAATAAATTATCTCATATAAAATAATACATGGGTTGTGTGAATCATCTGGGCTCCTGCTTTCAAGAGAGCCATGGCCTGCCTGGCGCCAGCCCCCTGCCGGGGGAGCGGGTGCTGTCCGGAGCATCCCCTCCTCCGTGAGCTTAAATGAGTCTGGAGTTTTGGAGGAACTGGATGAGGACCTGGTAGACGAACTTGTACTGGGCGATGGTCTGGATCATGAACATCCTCTGCTCCCGGAGGAGCCTCAGCATCATGGGCACTTCCACCTTCTGCAAGAGAAGAGAAAAAAGCACAGGCTCCTGAGACCAGAAGCTTCGCCGGGCCACGCCCCCCACGCAGGAGTGGGCATCCATCCACCCTCGGCCGGTGCCCGGCAGAGGAGGACTCTGTCCCTGCTAGTTTCTGTGAATCCAAGAGTCTCAACCAGCAACTGGAAAAGCTGGTCGCCAAGTGTCGGTGGTGTGCCCTTTTAGACACGGCCCAGTCTGCTGGACAAGACCGGGAGGCTGGAGCTAAACCCGACGGGGACTGGGACTCTCGGCGCCACTACAACCCAGTGATGGGACTGAAGGCATCTGGGGAGTCTTAGTTTCCTCATGTGTAAAATAAGGATAAGAATGCTGTCTTCAGACAGCAGTGTGGCCTTGCCCGAGTCAGTTACGTTCCCAATAACATTTCCAATAACTATTTCCAATAAATAGTACCCACCTCGCAGGATCGAAGGATGAAACGCATGTAAAGCATTTAGCACACAGTGAGTGCTCGATAAATATGACTCCTTATTCCTTTGTTAACATTGATAAATATGTTACTAATGCAATTATATTCCTCCTGCTATCTCACAGGGTTGCGGTCATGATCAAGTGAGATAATTTATGTGCAAGGTTTTAAAACATTGAAGCACAGTTTCTGAACACCGGTCACATCTGGAGTGTAAACCTTTAACTGAAAACATCTTGAGTGTTAAATGAGATTGCCTATATGTGAATTATTTGAGAATACATAACTGTCATCCATGGGAGGAAATTAACATGGTGGGTTGCAGGTGCTTGGACAGACCAGAGGCTCTGTCGGTGTCTCCTCGCCCTTACTGTGTCTGTCCCTCCCGGGCCAGCAGCACACGCGTGGCTGAAGTACCTCCACGCCGCTGAGGCCATGGTGGCCTTGGGACATTCACTCTGCTCTGGGAGCTTTTGACCCAGAGCAGTTATCAAGGGCTGAGCAAGCATTTAAAGTCAAATAATAAGAACCTAGCTGCACGCCTTCCTTCATCATCTTCAAACCTTGAAAAATAACCTCGGCTATTTCCAAATTCTGGGACGCTATCATACAACACGTGCCATCCCTAATAGTTGCTCTTTTCCAAAACCGACTAAGAAATGCACACCACAGACTTAACAGGGACAAAGTCAAAGTCCCTTGGTAATAAGAAGTGAAAAAAGGGCACGTGAATCTTCGAACTATGAGCCAAAATATGGAGCCCAGATTATAACAAGTAGGTGTTTGCCTAAATTATACTCCAAAGGGACAAGCATTGTGATATAAACGTAGAGCCACCTAATAATGAACTTAACACCATGTCTGATGAGCATTGCTCTGTGCTAGGCACTGAAGACACACGGATGGAGGGAGTGAGGCTGCTCTTCTCCCATACTGGCCAAAGGCTTTAGCAGAGAGAGGCAGGATCAGATGGGAGTTAAAAACAACAGGCTCTGGGTCAGCTTTCGTCTGCTGAATCTCAGCTCCCCACTTCCTGGCTGTGGGACATGGGCACATTATACTTCATGTCCCTGTGACTCAGTTTCTCTTCTGTTATACAAGGGTACTAACGGGACCTATCTCACGGTGCTATTGCGAAGGCTACTTGAGTTCACACTGCAAGGCTCTTAGAAGAGTGCTTATACATGATAAACACAAAACACAGGTTAGCTGTTATTATTTTTTATCATTTATCACCACCACTACCCCACCCCCATCACCTCTACCTCCTCATCCACTGTGGTCAGCTCCATCTCAGTAACCTACCAGACTCAGTCCAAATGACAGCATGGTATTGTCTGATATGGAGCAGTTTGGAGACAAGGCAAAGAAGGTTCCCCTGGTCCTCAATGCAAGGGTCCCAGCTGCCTTAAAGATTCATGCCCACGGGCTCTGCTGTTAACTGTCCCTAACCCAAAGAGGCAGTGACACTTGCTCAGTCTTGCCTGTAAGACATGCTCTCCTCCTCACTCTAGGAAGGAGAGATAACTTACTCAGAAAAGCAGCAAGATGGAGACATCTGCTCACTTTGGCTAGGGTGAACCTGACCTTGTGTAATTAGCTATAGCAAGGGCAGACAGCTTCATCCAGGCAACCAAGAGTTTACCGCAAATCACAAAACCAGTGACTTCTGAAAAACTGGATGGGCCTTAAAACATTCCAGCTAACACTCAGTGACCAAAAGTGCTGGGCCTTTGGAGCAGCCTGGGACAGCTGTCCCCTCCAATCCTACCTCACAGCCACCAACCTCGCCGCAAGCATCTTCGTTTCATTGTCCTGCTCAACTTCTCTGTGTTTAGAATGAGACTAAGAGGGAAGAACCCGAGAAAAAGAAAAGCCCTTTCACTACAAAATTACAACTGCATTAATTACAGATGAAAATACAAAGTATACCGAATCCAGAAGCTGTGGAAAGAAGGCAGGGAAGTTTTGGACAGGAGAAAAGCAAGGACACATACTTTCATATTTATTTGTCAAAATCTTTGTTTAACACACAAATAAACTAAACATGTCTCCCACTCTCCTCCTGAAATGGGAGCTTGAATCTTATAAGCCAGGCCTGCGAGAGCATCAGAACGAAGCAGAGAATTCCACCACCACCCCCAACCACTTACCAACAGCAACCATGGGAAATGGTGCAGATAAGGCTGGCTATATTTGTGCTGGGGTAAGGGAAGTGAAAAATATGAGTCATCTTGCTATCTTTGAATATCAATGGGAACAGAAGTTCTTTTTGGACTGACCACGTCCCGGCAGAGAACGTTCTGGCGTGCAGTTGGGCATTGAGGAAATCCGCTATGTTTGGACACACGCAGAAAACTGAACCAATCTGAGCCTTCACCAAGTGCACAGGCGGCCCTGCTGGCCAAATTCCTCGCTCAGACCGTGCTGGCTGTGATACGTGTCCCCTGTGTTCTACCACCTGGTGTTCAGTGGGCCCCCACGTTGGCACCTTGCTGAGACTGAGCCCCCCATGGGTCCCTGAAGAGCTCAAGGACCACCTTTCATGTCAGGTGAGAGGGACAGAAAGGCTTCTTGAGTTGAAAAGGGGTAAAGGGGAGCAAAGGAAGAATGAAGAAAAGAAAGGGAATTTGGTGACAGAAATGACACGAGAGGGAGGAAAAGACAACTAAAGTGGGGAGGTGAAGAGGAGGGCCTCCTTCCTCCCTAGAACCACCAGCGTGAGCTCAGATAGGCACGAGCCGTGTGCAGACTGACCCACTTCCCCTTATTCTGTTCTTCCTAGCTCTGGGTGGACTGGGATTGGTGGCAAGTTACTCATTGTACTAGACACCTCTCATAGTAACAGGGCACAGGGAAGCAAACCCACAAGAAATCCCATAGACAGGCAACAATGGCTGGCTAACTTTTGGGAAAAAAATGAAAGTATGAGAAAAAGTAATAAAATTTAATAAAAAGAAAATAAAAGAAAAAAAAAAGAAATCCCATATGGGACGAAATGGTCAAAACTAAGAAGACAGTGAACTTTCTGTTATGTAATCTCAACTGATTCCATGATGAGCATTTTGCTCAAGTTTTGTTTTTTGTCTTTCTGTTTTTTAACATTAGGCTACCGCTGGGATAGACCTTCTTCTACGTTTTCGCAGCATAAACATTCCCATGCACAGACTGAAAAGTTTCCAAAGTTAACTTTTTATAGGCAAGGGTGTTTTTAAAAGCCTTTGAACATGTTTAAACTTAGCATTTATTGTTTTCCCGGAAGTTTCAATAGGACAAACTTCACAGGGGGGCAGGGGGGGGTATGGAATCTGATTTTCAAACCATTGACGCTATTGAGTAAATACATGCATTAGCATATAAATTCCTCCAGACAACTGCATTACGACATCCTGTAATTTAAAAACTACCAAACTACTACTAAAAGTTTCTTTTAATTTTCCAAGCAAAATAATTTGGCAACTGTACAAGAACCAAATTGCATTTGGTATGTGGAGATAAAGACAGGAAATATTAATAACTCTGGACCAGGATGTGGAAGAACCTGCTTCTTGCCTCGGTACGCTGCTTAAGAGCCGTGTGGCATTAGACAACTCACAGAACTGTGTCTGGGCCTCAGTTTCCTCATCTGTAAAACAGGCCATTTGCACAGCTCCTCTGCATGGCTGCTATGAGGACCAACCAATGAAAAGAAGAAGGGGAAAGCCCTTTAAAATAAAAACAGGACTCACAACCCTACAGCCCAATGCAAACAGAAGGAAGAAGAACTAACTATCCTGTAGCCTTTGGCTGCTGTTTGTGTCATCGACACAAAATCAAGAGTCTCTAAGAGCAACTTCCTGGGCGGGCGCGGTGGCTCACGCCTGTAATTCTAGCACTCTGGGAGGCCAAGGCAGGCAGATTGCTCGAAGTCAGGAGTTCAAAACCAACCTGAGCAAGAGCAAGACCCCGTCCGTCTCTACTATAAATAGAAAAGAAATTAATTGGCCAACTAACATACATAGAAAAAATTAGCCAGTATGGTGGCGCATGCTGTATCCCAGCTGCTGGGGAGGCTGAGGCAGAGGATCGCTTGAGCCCAGGAGATTGAGGTTGCTGTGAGTAGGCTGACGCCAAGCACTACTCTAGCCTGGGCAACAAAGCAGACTTTGTCCCCCCCCAAAAAAAAAAAAAAAGAATAACTTCCTAACCTTACCATAGCAGCAAAGGAAAGCCACGCAGCCCGTGGAAACGAGCTCAGTGGTAGCCACTTTTGCAGGGAGAAGCGCTAAGGCGGTAGACAAAGCACAGATGGGGGACGGTCGTGTGCGTGCAGTATCCACCCTGCTCGGCTACGCCACGCGGTCACCGGTCCACATAAGCAAACAACCCCCCTTCAAATAAAAACTGACTCTTGAAGACTGAAACCATTTTCCAAGTAGACACATTTTCGCGGAGGATTTAGTCCAAAACACACATCCCAGAAATGCCAGGCACAGCTAAAGCTATCTGGGACCAAATAACTCACCATGGAAAATGACCCACAACGAAACCGGACTGCCTACAAAATGCTGTGGACTTCTGGAAGTAGACGCCAACGAGAGTCAAATTTCCTAAGTGATTTCTCCTGCACACTCTCAGTTCTTCTGCTATGTTATCTGGGTATCTACGTGAGCAGGGGAGGGGCCAGAGATAAGCAAGGTCGTAAATGTCACAGTTGCAACGAGGAACCAGGGCTCTGGGAAACTTCTGGTCAGGGGGAGAGGAATTATCGCTGAAAACGAAGGGCACCGGCAAAGGTTTGGCCTGGGCACAGGTGTGTCCCAAGTGGATTTTCAGAAGACCAGAAGGACTCACTTCATTATGCTCAGGCAGTAGATCATGAGCTCAGAGAGAATGACCAAGCCGGTTCTTCCCACCCCCGCGCTGCAGTGGACGACGATGGGAGGGTGCTGGTTCGTGGTGCCTTCCAGCATGCTGTTGGTATGGCGACGGACTGACTGGATCTCCTCCAAGTAGGCTGCGGGACAAAATGCAAATCGTGTCACCAAAGTCCTACATGGCTTTGCATGCATGCGTGTGCACGCGCGTGTGTGTGCGGGGTGGGTGTGTATGTGTGTGTGTGATGGTGAATCATTTATTATTATTATTATTTTTTAATGAATCATTTTTTTTTAAGTGACAATAATTTATAGTTCTTACAAGACACTAATGATTTGGCTGGTACCCACTGTACACTCCCGGATGCAGAGAGGACCAGCTGGGAGTCAATTAGTCCATGGGAGAATTTGTTCTTTAAATTAAATAGTTCTTTTTTTCAAAAAAAAAAAAAAATTAAATTCTGTTTTCCCCTCTGCAAATCCCTAAGTCCCCCAAGCAGATGATTCTAGACATTACTTACAGCAATTCCTACTATTAACAGACTGGGATCAGAACAACAGCTAAGTCCCCTTGAAACGCCCGCCTGTCAGAGCCAATTTCTGGTGGGGAGAGAGCGTCCATCTGCCCCTTCTTTCTTCCCCTCGCCGATGAGCGAATGTCAACCGAGGCTTGACTTCGGTTTTGGATTTTAAAGTAGACTCTGGGGACCCTGCTCTTCGGCATGGATTCCAGGGGGTTATGCGAGTGACTCAAGATAAGCCCCCCTTCTGGAGGCGCCGTGCCTGGGAGGTGGAGGGGGTCGCCCTGTCCCCCCGCCCGCCCCCTCCCTTCCAACATCTGCCTCGCTCGGCAGGGCTGAGCAGGGGCTGTGCACAACGCCAACTGGGCACAAAAGAAAAATTACAGGATACAAGCCCGGATGACTTTTTTCCATAGCCATGACAAAAAAAAAAAAAAAAAGTATATAAATGTAATTCTCAGATAGTCCCCAAAAAAACCCAGCAAAAGTCAATCAGCAATTTAGATTTTGCAGTAGCTCAGGGGAGAAACAGGTTTAAAGGTTCTTGAGGCTTGGAGAACCTCCTCCTAATGCAACGGTTTAAACAAGGCTAATAGGGGGAAATGCTTAAGTTGTTAAAGAGAAAAATGCATTCGAACCATTCCATTAATTTAAAAGCATTTGTTAATATGCTTTTAATAAGCCACCATGCTTTCCTTGATAACCTTATCTAATTACACAATAATCTGAAGTCGTTGACCAAATAAGCAAACTATTACTACAATGAAGAGGACTACTAGTAGTAATAATAGTACTATTAGCAGTACTCATAGCAGTACCATGAGTAGCAGTGATGCTCAAAATGACAACTGGAACAAACAATATGATCCCCTGAGAGAATACCGAGTCATTACATTTGGACTAGAGAAAAATACACATTCCAAGCATTTGTTAATATGCCCTTCTAATAAGCCCACTCGTTCCTGATAATAATAATACGCGTGAAGCTCCTGACCAATCATAACAAACTATCTACATGAACCAATAATCACCTCATATCAGCAAGTAACTCACTAGCATATTACGTACATTACTAAAATGCAAACAACAAGATCCCAAATACTATATATCAACATGAAAAATTCTTTTACACGTTTTTCTGCAAGGGACAAACGCGCTCTAGAGAGTATTAGGTACGAGCAACTGTTCACATAGGACACGCTTACTTCTGAGCAAATTTAAGACGACAAATAAGTGAACGTTGGGCATACAGCAATGCATATTCAAATGGATTCATGAAGCCAGAGAACTAGACATTCCAATGGATTCTCCTCTGTCAACCA